TTTTTCTCAAATAAAGGCTAAAATGATAACACAGATGTTTACAAAAACATTTTTTTTTTCCTTGAATCCAAAAAACACCAAATTTAACAACTCAACAAATTATAAAATTTAGAAATATATAGGTCTAGATAGTAGAAATATTTATTTTTTCTCTACAGAAAATTGCATTGTAGGTTCCAATCTTTCCAAAATATGCAAATAGGTGCCTAACTTCAAATTTCGACGCTGCCCCTCCTTAACCTCCGTCCAAATTGAAAGTTTGAGGAACTCATTTGTACTTTTTGTAAAGATTAGGGACCTATTTAAAAAAAAGAAAATAAAAATAAAAAATAGGAATCTGCTAAACTGGAAAAAAGGGATCTCTTGCTGCGTTACAGGTGCGTCCAAGGGAGTAGAGCTATACACACAGTTCACAACCTCATAGCAATTACGTACACCATCTCCGATTCTCCGCCCTAAGTTTACACGATCAACTCAATTAACAGAGAGAGAAAATGAGTGGAGCGGGAAAAAAGGTCGCTGACGTTGCATTCAAGGCCGGCAGGACCATCGACTGGGAAGGCATGGCCAAGTTGTTGGTCTCCGACGATGCCCGCAAGGAATTCGCCACGCTCCGACGAGCATTCGATGAAGTGAACACCCAATTGCAGACCAAGTTCAGCCAGGCACCAACCTTCTTTCTATAGATACGAATGTTTATAAATTTATGGGTATTTGTATGTGTGAATCATTTGGGGTTTGTTTTGGTTGAATGCAGTGCAGATCTGTGGAGCTAATATTTTGTGGGAGTGAAACTGGGTTTTGATGCTTGTAAGCTAGCGATTCTGTTCGGTTGAGATGCACGATGAAATTAATGGAATGGCGTATTTAGTTTTATGAGGGATTGGGCTTATTTCATGTTAACCATTTTCTGGGTTATCTCTGAGGTGGGATAAAATGATGGGGAAAATATTTCTTATATTTTAGTAATTTTCTTACTCTCTTTGTTTTATTGGACGGAATTGAGGCCTTGATTGAAAATGTGATTCAAATTTAAGGACTTTCATTTCTAATTCCAATGTTGAGGGCGTAAGCCTATCTATGGAAATGCAACTATGTGTTTTCCTTGCTAAAATCACTAACCAAATGCAGTCTATCAATTGAAATTCACTTGTCTGAAATTAAATTAGACTATGGGAAATTGACAAAGAGAAAATTGAAACAACTTTTTTTTTTTTTTCACTTTAAATCTGATATTTCAAAATCGCATGTTCATATGTCCGTTTATGGGTTTTCCGAGCAGCGGGTCTTTAACAACTGAACCCAACAAAGTTATATTACTGTAAAGACTTCTTCTTTCTGTGTTAGCTTAGCTTTGGCATTCAAATTTATGTGCGAGAATGGAGGAAAAGTGGAAGTGTGGGTATCATTGGAACACAGAACTAAAAGCAGACTTATTAAATGTTAGATGCAAACTGCACTTTAACAGTGACCGTCTTTGTGAATGTGAAGTTGAAATTGAATAGCATGGAAAGTGGTTTGCCTTGTGTGCTTCTGGAAGTCGTTATTGATGGCAAATGAATGTGAACCTGCAAAATATTTATGTGCTCTACCACATGCAATTCTGCCATGTGATTTTGTCAAGCTGTTTCCTTAATTTACATTTTTACTTGATGCATGTCATTGACTTTCTAGATCTTGTACAACTTAGTAATCATTTCGATAGCACGTGTTTGCAGTAATGTACAATGGAAATGGTACATTTACTTAATATTCTTTATAAATGTTTATACCACATACACACTGACATGACAAATACAGTTTATTGAGTTTTTACTTAACAGTTTTGTGAAATGCCACGTGATTGACCAACTTTTTTCCAGATTAGATTTTAACATAATAAAATTTTGTAAGATTTTCATGTTTCAAAATATCATCTTCAGCCATCATTTAGGTCCATATGAATTTTGATTGTTAGATCTTTTAAAATTTCAGTTACTGTGATTTTCCAAGCATGCTAAGCCTAGAGGGAACATAAAACTACAGATTATTAGATTTTTTTTAGTTTAATTCGTTGTCGTTTTTTCTAGTGGATGTTTATGGTCCAACATAGAAGATTGCACTTTTAGACAACGAGGTATTGCTAATAGCATCCAGAATGTGCAATGGTGCCACTTTCTTCCTTTTCTAATGGCAAGTAGAAGAAATACACGGGAACTGGACTTCTCAAACAAATCTTTCTTTCTTGAATATGCAGGAACCAGAACCCGTAGACTGGGAGTATTACAGAAAAGGGATTGGCTCTCACTTGGTTGATATGTATAAACAAGCATATGATGGTATGTGTCGCGTATTGCCTGGTTTTTTTGTTATTTGTATTTTCCGTGTATTAATTGCTATTTCTTTCTTTTTTCTCTTTTCTGGATTGGCGTCTTCCTGAACTGGATTAATTGTGTCAGTGGTACCGTCCATATTTGTCACGTGATTTTTCCGTCACTTCATAGTTAGAAAAAACATTTCGAATGCCTTCCAGTGAGCTCAATACAAGCAGAATATATAGAGCTAGAATAATACTGTGGATAGTTCTTTGGTTATACTGCTGAACCCTTACAACTGAGTACACAGAAACGACAGATTATACAAAAAATTATAGAAGTACTCTTGAAGTTTGGATAACACAATTGTGATTCAAACTTGCAAAGTACATGTGGCAGGATTTGAAGCGACTCACTTGAAACTTTGGCTGAATTTTATGCTACTAAGATGCTTGAATTTTAGTTTTTCATTACTTACTATGCTTTGAGAGTCGAGGATTAAATTTGTGAGTATTTATTGTCCACGATTCTTATTCTGGTTATAATGTTGTGATTTACGTAAACTTCTAATTGGATCAGAACATTTTGTGGTGGTCGAAGATCTTATATCTTTTAGTTCCTATTTACAGTATTGGTCTTTGTTCTAGTGGGAGATAACTTGGGTTCAAGTTCTTGTGCAATCTCTTCATTTCATACATGAGGTGCATGCTTGGATTTGTTTATAAGTTGCTGACATCATAATTGGTTAGAAATGAGTGATAGATGAGTTAGTAGTTCTGGGTCTTACAAAACGTTTTATTAAAATTAAAGTTTGACCAACATAAATTGTAGAATAATGGAATCCTGCACCAGTGATATTGAACATCAGTTTAGATATCAGCATATCATAGGTCTTATTAAATGGGCTATAATTTCATGTATTTAATTGAACTTGAACTTTAATGCCACTAGTGTTGCCACCTAGACGAGTGTTAAAACACTGGTAGTGCTAAATAGCATTACTTTAAATTATTGGTTAAGGAGAAAAAAACATGCACTAGATATCTGAGTGTGCTGTATTTTTTAAAATTTTTTCTTCTGTCCAAAATATCTAGCACTCTATAAAATCCTTCTTCAACGCCTAAAGCAAATACTTATTAGATCTCATCCCCTCTCAAGATCAGAATCACCAAAACTGCGCTGATCTCTTTGTTCATCAGCTGTAGAATGGAGGTCCCATTTTCTTGAAATCTCTGCTGTTTGTTTTACCATATTTAGATATTTCTGTTAACAAATTTCTCTCGATTCCCAGCCTCACATTCCAAAAATCTAGCCCTGATCTTTCTCCTACTGCCTACTAGTGGAAAAGTTCGAGCATAAGTTTGGCATACATCACTTTGCCTCCCTCTTCTTATTTTTTGGACTTGTTCATTTATACTTTGCATGCTCGATGTCTTGCAGCAATAAACTCGAATTAAAATCATATTTGATGTTTGCCTTATAGCTGATTTGTGAATGAATTTTACAATTTATTGGGTGTATGAAAATAATAATATGCCTGGGAAGACATTAGGCAATCATTATAAAAACTAGGTTGGTATTCTCACATCCTCAATCCTGGAACAAACAGAAAAAACTGGAAAAAGCGTGGAAAATCTCATAATTATGAGTCTTTGTGATGTTATGATATCCAAACTGCCCTGGAATTCATTGACAACAACATGGTTAGTGAATCACATAGATAGAAGCTCGTAAAGCTTCTTTGTAAATCTTCTTTTATCGGGAATTTTGGTTGACCTTAGTTACTGCTATTTTACTTCCATTAACTTCAAGATAGAATAACTGTTCTGTTTTTTTTCTTTTTTTCTGCAGAAGTTAAAATCCCACAATATGTTGACAATGTCACTCCTCAATACAAACCCAAGTTTGATGCTTTGGTAAGAAGATTTCTGGAACTATCGTCATTATTTCTTGGAATAGCCTTTTAGAATTGGTGATTAAAATTAAATATGGAAAACGAGATTGATTTTCTTGTTTTTAAATTCCAAATCATGTAATTCATCAAAGTCTTCAAAGAAGTACATCATGCGACAATCAATACCAACTGTCAAACCTTAAAACATTCTTAAACTAGTCGCAAGTTCTTACTGGATTCTTCTTTAACCAATTATTTCTTTCCTTTTCTTATTCGATATTTCACATTATGAGTGTCAAAGAATCTCATATTGAAATTGCTTGTGAAGAGCTGTAGTTGGTAGAGCTGAAAGAAGCTGAGCAGAAGTCGCTGAAGGAGTCAGAAAGACTGGAAAAGGAAATTGCTGATGTCCAAGAGCTGAAGGTAATGTAGATATACTTCTTTTGCATGCATAAATCTTCATCAACTCACCACCCGTCTCTGCCTTCTCTCGCTCATTTACTATCTCCTCTATATTGGGATATCTCAAATTTTTCTTCGTGTGACAGAGGAAACTAAGTACAATGACCGCTGATGAATACTTCGCGAAGCATCCCGAACTGAAGAAGAAGTTTGATGATGAAATCCGAAATGATTATTGGGGCTATTAGTTTTTGCTTCATGTTGCATTTCTTCTGGACCAGTTTTAATCAAACCTTTTTGAGCTCGTCCACAATTTACGAATAAGGAGGACTATTTTGTTTTGTCCTTTCGTTTCTTGGGTTATTTTTAAGACTGAACCAGGATATACAGTCATTGAGGATTTGTTAATGCAACCTCCCATAGGAGGATTAACATGATGTGTTCAAATATTCAATGTAATTTCGTAATCAGAAAGCATCATGGATTTTCCTAGACTCCTATTAGTATGCAGTACTAGACCCGACTACATGCTTTGAATTTATTTATTTATTTATTTATTTATTTATTTATTTCGATACTTTCCAGTAGTATCTAATCTTGTCTTGATAGTATAACATCCAAAACTTGAACCGTTTTTCTTTCTTGTCCTATTTATTTTTACTACCAAACATGTCACGAAGGTTCAATGGTTTTCACTTTTCAGTTTTCACTAATGAATTTGAATCATGATTTATTTCCAAGACTTGCTTTTCAAATACGTTTCTATGTACTGATCAAATGAGGTTTTGTTATTAAAAAAAGGGAAAGAAACTGGTCGGTTTCTTAGACCAGTCTAGCACGACGCTCGATCGACACCCGCAATCGTGGAACAATTTTCTGTTGGTTGACGCTCAAGTTGATTAGATGAGGAGCTGTCAAATGAGCTTGTTGTAAAGAAAATTTATCATATCTTGTGGTGCACTTCAGGTTTGCAACAGTTGTCGCGGTTCAGGCCAATAAATTTTGCAGAACTAAGCTATTGGACGAAGTAACAGAGAAAAGTCTAATAATCAACTTTGAATTTATTAAGAATAAAACTAATAGAAGTATAATTTAACACAACATGCAAATGCAAAGACTTTGTCTTAATATGAAACCGAAAATTTCTCCTCATATGATAACTGTGTATTTATCTGGTAAATGCCCTCAACGCCTTGAAATCCTGCGTGAAAGCCACCTGTGAACTCTTCCTCTCTCCCTCTACTCTACATAAACTGCTCTTTTTCTTGCAAATTTTGACTGAAAAGTTAGTTTAAAACAATTACTGAAAATGGGAAAGGCTTTGTTTTTGCTACTAGTCGTGGTGTGCTGTGCACTGGTGGCGGGTGTGAGTGGCTATGAAGACGAATGGAGGTGGGAGGATGAAGAAGGTGGTGGAGAAGAGGGTGGCGCTTGGCGGCCGGAAGGAGTTGATTGGTTCTTGTTGCAAGATTCAAAGCAAGTGGTGAAGACTGATGCAGGGAATATGAGGGTGGTGAGGGGTTTTGGAGGAAAATTTATGAAAAGTCCATTGCATATTGGTTTCATTACTATGGAGCCCAAAAGTCTTTTCATACCTCAGTATCTTGATTCCAGTCTCATCCTCTTCATTCGCGAAGGTATTTGTTTTTCTTTAATGGCATGTTTCGTGTATTGGATTAGAAAATACTGATATGATTGATATAGAGTAGATAGTACCATATTGGAATTTAGATAGAATAGAGAGTAAAACATAGATTAGGCATACTAAATATAATTGAAACAATACCGAGAAGATTAGCATCGCCCTGACAAACAAACAAATGGTCATTTGACACTAGATACAGTTGAGACAGATAGCCCTTATTTGGTCCTCATTATAATGAGAATTTGGGAAAAACGTATTTTGAAATAGTAATTTTTTTAGGAGAATGTGTGGTTAAAAAAGAATGAAAAGTTTTGAATTTTCAGTAATGTTATTTTATTAGAGAATGTCTGGTCGATAAAAAGCGAGATAAACATGTGCTACATAAGATTGTAGTGGAGAAACGTGTACTGCTGTGTGTCCAATATCGAATACCAAAAACGTTTATGTGTTAGCCTGTTGATTGCTTAATAATTTTAATTCATATGCTACTTCACAGATTAAGATATGCTATGTGCGGTTTTCCCAATTGTTCATTCATGAGAATCTGGCAAATGTCACTATAAATATTTTTTAGGCCCTTCTATTGTGTAACTTCTTTAATGTCTCAAGCGATGGATTGACACCGAAAAGTGGCACCACGATTTACCTTTCAATTAAAAGATCTAGCGGAATTATATTCTACTGCTATATATCTCTAGATTTGATGATTGATTGATGAAGATATGAATCCGATCATACTGAATGCAGGGGAAGCAAGAATCGTGCATATCTACAAAGACGAATTGGTTGAAAAGCACTTAAAAGCTGGAGATATCTATAGAATTGAAGCAGGCTCGGCTTTTTATCTGATTAATGCGGCAGAAAGTCAGATACTACATACAATATGCAGTATCGACACATCCGAGAGCTTGGGATGGCACACATTCCAGGTACAATCCGAGTATTCATTTCCCTTCTCATTTGTTTCGAGAAATATATGATGATTCATTCCAATTTTCGTTGTAAATTTCTTCTCGATTTTACGGAGAACTTGCAGTGT